GTCTCGTACTGTGCCTGGAACCCCAGAGCATGTGCGCTGGGACTGACATCACTTCAGCGAATAAGACCATGTTCTCACCGTCATCTACGAGATCCTGGAACCGTTCCAATAACTGTTCACAGTCTAGATAGTTGCCTCGAAATTTATGGACGGAAGAACATCGTCGTTCTCTGGATTCTGCTCAGTCCAATGGTGAACCAACCCGTGTGTAATCTCCTTTGTCAGTTGTCAAGACTGTGTATCCTAATGGAGCCAAGATCATCTCTTGATCGAGACTGTCGACACCCGACTGAACTTCAAGGCACCAGATGTCATGAATCCGACCTTTCATCAGCGCCACCGAGAACCCTAGAGGAGCGATACATGCTTGGATTTCTCCTACAGCGTTCTGGACTCAATAAGCGACAGCTTCGAATTTTAGGGGACGCAGGCCAATGGCAACTAGCCTATGAGTTAGGTTTCCATTATTTAGAAGAACTAGACGAGGGTTCATCAACGATTTCATCCAATTGAGCCATAAAAATTGTTTAAGTTTGTTGAATAAGATCATTAACCTGTTGTTTTTGAGAATTTTTGTTTACAGATCCGAGATTCAGAGCACATGGCAAAGAGAAGCCCTGAGAGGGATGACATCGTGAAAGAAGTGAGGGCCTGACGTACGACTTCGCCATGATGCCCACTGAAGCCCTGATCATGCAGTTTTGTTATGAATCAGATTATGTGTTTGTGTTGATTATTGCTTGATTATTATGTAACTCAATTCCAGGACAGCGAATTTTTGTTTGTTTATTTGTTTGTTTGCTTATCTACTCATTTGACGACTCACGACAAGGCTCTAGATATGAGTGCATAGCATAATTTAGCTATGCTCTCAGCAAGGGGGGATGTCACAACCCAAAGTTGTGGTTTTTTGTTTTTGTGTGCTTCGGCACCGCTAAATTATGTCCCCGCCAAATTGCAGCTCCTTTGCACGGTAGAGTTTTCTGCTGCAATAGGAGAACCCGCGTGTAAAACAGTATTTCCCGCCAGTTTGTAGCCTTCTTTGCATGGTGCATTTCTTTTGCATCATAGTGATGCACGGTGCAAAGGGGTTCCCGCCATTTGTATTTAGATTCGCGCCACATTATTGGCCGATCCTAAATTATGTACACGTGGTGGCTAGCGATTGGCTTGCTAGCTGTATAAAGAGCTTGGGAGGTTTCCACCCAACGGGTCCGCATATCGCTCCCGGCTTACACATGGCGACATGGACGAGATCGGGAGGCGGCCCGATCACACTGGGATGTTTAGACAACCCCTGTGTCTGACCTGTGAGCTAGAGGAGAAGATGCTCCTCTGGTCTAAAATGCCATGGAGGGTGAGAAGCCCTGGTATTATGAAACTAATTAAGCAGCTACCACTCATGCTCCACAATTCGAAGTGCTCAGAATATGGAGCTAAACCCAATTGGAGGCTTCTTTTTTCAGAGTCTTTTTGTAAAGCAAATTCTGTGCCTTGCCTTTTTAACACACGAGTTGGATGAACACCAGCCTTAAGGTTAAATTTTATAAGTATTTCTAATCTAGATCACAGTCTTAATGTCACAGATCCAGCCATCCTCTATATATGCTGTCTGCCTGAAATGACAGCACTTGCTCCCCTGTTCGCTGGAAGTAAGAACTAACCACTCCCGTTGTGGTATGATTAGACAGGTGGCCTGGACAATGGATTCCAGTAATCGTAAGCATACAGGCTGTCAGCAGATGCAAACATCCATCCATCAAACAAACATCCTCCACTTGTTATATCCAGGAAACAGAAACATCCAGAAAAGAATGGGAGAAGCTGAGAACTTCACTCTGGTGCACATATTGTCTTGGGAGTGGACAGCTGGTACCATTATACTGCTGTGGGGCTATGACTTGGCCTGAGAGATGCATGTGAGCCAAAACCCCACAGGTGATCATTTTCCTCTGTTTAGGAAAGTTGAGATGTGAACCAGAGATCAGCATCTTAGTTTCTCACCTATCTCTGATTGGAATACCCCTCCATCCCCTGACCAAACCAAGTACTCTGTACTTGATTATGATTAGGATGGGTCTTTTATCATTTGGACCCAGTAGTATAATTGATTGGCGGGGGGGAAGGCAACCAAGGCAGTAGCCTTGGGCACCCACTGAGTAGGGTGCACAAAAATAGTTGCTGTAATCAGCAAAGCAGCAGTCTATGTTGCCCAGTGTGTCATGGCTGCCCTGGGCACAGAGCTAGCCTGCTGCACCCCTGTTTGGATCCATTTCTTTTCCTAAAATAAGACTAGTCAGGCTTATAACCTGGATTGATGCCCTCTGCAAAAAACCAAAGGAAGGGTGTTTTAGTGAAGTGGCCCAAGCTCAGAGAGACAAGTGCTTGGGCATGTCATGCACTTTTGCCTGCTCCTTCCTTAGGCCTGGGACCTCCTGCCTTCCCTCCACATACACACACACCTATCAGCTGGGATGCATACCTGAGACAGCCACACTCAGAAGTGTGCGCACAGTGCTTTGAGAACTGGGGCTGCAAGAGCTCCTCCTTCTTTGTGGTGCTGCTGAAGATGCCATCTTTCTGCTGGTTGTTATTTGTGGCTTTGAAGGGTCCATACCATTTTCACCATGATTTGGCCTTAGCCCAATTGTCCTCATCAGATTCCAGCTTGAGTACCGGTATTTCTGGTGTCTCTACATTTCTTTCTTGGGACCCAGCATCTTTCTACCACTTCCCCTTCCCTCCCTCCCTTTGCCCCTCTTCTACCTTCCAACCTGCAAAGTCCCATGGGCCTGGGAGATGATGTAGTGGGAAAAAAGTGGGAGGAGCACTTTTGTGTTGGACAAGTGAGCAGGGAGGAAAAAGAAGCTGGTGGCCAAGAAGCTGGAGCTGAGGGAAGGATGAGAGCCTTTCAGTCAGCTCCATTTTCTCCTTCCCATACCTCTCTGGACAGTGGAGTTGAGGGAGTTTGGGTTGTACAACCTGATCTTGGGAAAAGATGAACTCCTACAACTTCTCTTTGTAGGCTGGGATAATTGTTAGTGCTTAAGTCCTCCCAGGATTAGATGTCTTGAAGAGTCTTTCAAAGGACTGCTCCTATTCCACTGATTTTGTGCGAAGCACAGTTGAGCAGTAAGGACCAAGCTTTGCCACCCTTTCTCCCTATGGGTGGAGCCTCACTTTTCAAGTGGGCCTGTTAGACACAGAAGAGTGTCAGAATTTGGACCATAAGGGCAGGCTTCTAAAACTAGAACCAGTGCTGTTTTTGTATTGCCTATCTTTTCAGATAAACTAAAGGGGCTGGGGTCAGGCTGCTCGCTTTACTCTACCAGTCTGTAAACCAGCTGTTTTCCAACATTTATTGTTAACCCTAGATTTTTCCTACTGTCTGCCCACCCTTTCCCTCGGTCAAATTTTAGGACACTGGTAACATTTGGAAGCTGTGTAATTCTAGCTGGACAGAGATCAGGATGGATTCCCATAAATGCTCGCCACTCATGCTTGCTTGCTTTGCTCATTCTTGGCCGTTTGAAAGGAGAGACTTAAACAAGAGGAGACAGAGTTAGAACTTTATTAGGACAAAACAGGCACAGTTCAGAATCTCTTGTTAAGGACGACACACAGCTTTGGGCTCAACAATCCATGCACATAAAGCACTGTAGACATACAAAAAAAAAGTTAAATTGTTTTCCCCGTGTGTGCACATGTGTGTGTGTTTGTGTGTGTGTGCAGGAAATTGTACCAAATCAAACTCCTCATTAGAAGCAAGGAATCACCATGCTCTCAACAGCAAACGTTGGAGGGACGAGCAGAATTCCCAGTGAAACCATTCTCAGCTCATATACACCCAGCCCACTCATTCAGAAGTAGCTGCCCATCTCTGAAAGGGCAAAGCAGGGTAAAAGAGAGGGAGCAGGTTGAACCTGAAATGTAAACTTAACCCCCTTGTTTCAGTTATGTGGTGAGTAATAGAATCAAGTATGGTGAGGTGGGGGTCGTGGAAAAGGACCAACCCAAGAGTCTTCTCAAACAGCTTCACTTTGGGGTCTCCAGCATTATGAGCTGATGACCGCTCAAGATCACTCGCGAGTGAAAAGCAGCAAAGTGCTTGTCTATTTCTTAATGAACTAGTGCCTGACAGAAGACTCAGTATTTTAACAGCCCTGATGGGCAGGCCCAGCAGAACAGCCAAGACCTGGACAAGTCATGGAGACTAGACAATATTCTTGTAATCAAAGTCCCTTCAAAGTAAGGCTGAAGTGCAATGACAAGGCTAGTACAATTGCCGTCCAGGTTGCAGCCCTTCTGCAGATAAACAGAGGATGTCATTCTCCAGGGAGGCATCACAGCAGTGTGCGGCTGGCTTAGAAGTCTTGTTAAAGAGGGAAAAAAAATCACAGCTATCCTCCCACATGCTATTCTTTACTTTTTTTTTTAGCAGTGACATTTGCTTCCACGGAAAATCCATTTGTGTTTGTTAGGGGGACCTTTCTTTTGCAACTGATCTAACGGAGTGTCTTAGGAAAGTTCCTTCAGCCCACTTTAATGGTCGTCTGGGTTGTATCCAGGGATATTAGGGTCCATCCTCTGGTCTGACCCTGGAATCATGAGGATATTTCCATTGTTGGACACTGAGGCACTTTGATTTTGTGGAGAAAACAGACAGTTCTACAAGAAGGAGTTATATACATAGTTTCAAAAAATTCAAGTAAAATTCATAGTATAAGTAAGGCAAGTTGGTATAATGCATCTCAGTCCAGGCAGAGGAGGGAGAGAGAGAGACGCTAAATATAAAGAATTATTTTTTAGTGTATTCTTTCTGGTTTCTCCTCAGGGGAGAGAAGCTACAGCTCGTTGTGCGTGCAAACCTGATGTAGCCCCCAAAATGGGATTATCTGGACAATGTATGACTCTTGTGTTCAGTATTACAGCCTGTGGCCAGTCTCATATTTAAGGCAGAGGGACAACCTCAGAAACAGACAGGCTCTGGCAGGAAATGTTTTGAAGGGCTAAGGGCAGGTCCTGTAATCCCTGTGGGTGGCTATGACCTGCTGCTTTTTTTGGGTTGCAAATTAGGTGTGGTCTGCAGGATTGTGGCGAGTTGCCAGTGTACCCCCTGCCGGGTAAAGCACAGTCACCTGAGCTGCAAGGCACAAGAAATGCTGTTTGGAGTATGGCAAAGCCATTCACAAAAATGGCAGAGAGCAATAAAAGAGAGAGAAGAATGGCAAGCATTTAGAAGCCCCGCCGCAGAAGTCTGGCTTAGCACTGAGACGTCCTCTCCCTCCTTGCCACACCTGGAGACCAGTCACACTGACAGGTCGTCTGACCTAGCCTTGCTGCTGGTGCGGCTGGTCTTGCTGAGCCGGCGTTTCTCATTGAAGTAGCCATTGGCAGGCAGATGAGGAGAAGATTCATTGGCTACTTCAGGACTCTGTGCATAGGTGATCTGAATAAATTGCTCTTCCCTGACTGCATCGTCTTGGCTATGGACCCTTTCAGTGGCAAAGTTGGCTGTATTCTGCTGAGAGGCCATTTTGTTGCTGAAAGGGCTGATGAATTTCCCATTGGGGTTTGCCAAGCACTGACTAAAATCTGGAGGAGGAGTGCAGCTTTGGGCCATGTCCACTTGTGGTGCAGTCTCTGGCTTGACGCTGACCATACTGGGACTGGGTTTGTATGATCTAACACACTTCTCTTTTGCTTTTTTCCAACCCAGGTGGTAGAGCTCAGCTACACTCAATAACAGTGACAGCACTGCTACAGCAAGCATAAAGACGATGAAGACATTCTTCTCTGTGGGCCGTGAGACATAGCAGTTCACGGGGTGGGGGCACGGTGCCCGTTGACAGATGTACAGGGTCTCCAAGAAGATCCCATACAGGATGTATTGTCCGACAATGAAGGCCACTTCCATAGCGGTGCGGATCAAAATGCTGTAGACGTAGGTGTTCAGTAGGTTGCCTCTGAGTAATATTCTTCCACTTGATTCCTCTTGATAGACAAACTCAACTTTCTCTGTTATGGGATATTCCTTTTGGTGGTATGAGTCACCACCGCTTTTTATCTCCTTCCTCCTCAGTTCTGCCTCCTTAATTTTTCTTTTCTCTTCCATGCGCACCTTGTGCATTGCATGGCCCATGTACAGCAGTGATGGGGTAGAGACAAAGATGATCTGAAGAACCCAGTACCTGACATGGGAGATGGGAAAAGCCTTGTCGTAGCAGACATTCTCACAACCGGGCTGCTGGGTGTCACACATGAAGTCGGACTGCTCGTCTCCCCAGGAGGACTCTGCTGCCGTGCCAAGCACCAGCATCCGGAAGATGAAAAGCACTGTCAGCCAGACTTTCCCCACCACTGTGGAGTGTTTGTGGACCTCCTCAAGGAACTCTCCCAGGAAACTCCAGTCACCCATTTCTGCTTCCTGGGAGAATAGCCTCTGTGGAGAGAATGACGGGGAGAGAGAGAGAGAGAGGGTCTGAGCAAGGTGGTGATGGGAGAGAAAATGTTGCATTTGAAAAACTTACCAAGGAGAAAGTCTCTGAGGATTCAGCTGTTGATGTATTCACTCAAAAAGCCCTCTCAGAGAAATTGCTCACACTTTTACTTCTCTGTATCAGGGTGGCAGGGTTATGCCCTTCTTTGGAGCATCTAGTTCTGGGGATCACCTCTTAAGACAGAGCATGTGGCTAGATGAATTTCTAGGTCTCTTCTGGTTTTAAAGTATAAATTAGCATAGCAGGCACAGAGTAGGGCAGGGTGAAGGTTTTATTCAAGCAAAAATTTAATTCAGTTGAGTCAAAACAATTTGAAAATTTAGGTTGAATTCTGTAAAGGGTTTGACTGAAGCAAAAATTAAAAGAATTGAGGGGACTTAGGTGCCATTGGGAAAAGGATTTGGGCTCCTGTCCTAGTAGTTAGGACCCTCACCTGCAATGTAGAAAGCCCATATCCTCTCTATCTGATTCACAGCTGTGATTTGATCAGAAGTTTACCACACTGAGCAACCTAACCATCAGTCAATAGGGTATTAGGTTATTCTGGAATGGGGGATCTTGCACTCTCTCCTAGTGGAGCTGGTCTAGATTGAAAACAACCCACAGTGCAGCGCAGTAGTGATTAGAAGCCAGGTATCTCCTCTTCCAGGTGAGTGCCTTGGCACCCAGCTATAGAGTCATTCTCTGTCTTTGGGGCCAAATAAACACTTAAGTGTTTTATTCAAAGAGGGACTGCATCAACAGAAGCAAGGCCAATGACAGTGTGCCCAGTAATCTAGTGGTTAAAGCAATCTCCTAACGGCTGTAAGATCTTGGTTCAGATGCCTACTCTGAATTGGGCAGCGTGGGGCTTTGGATCGGACACACTGATCTAATCACTGGGTGAGGGTTCCCCTTCCCTGAGCTTTGCTGATCTAGTTTCTTTGAAAACCTCAGGATATAAAATGGTTTGTTTGGGATTGAAGAAAATGTTTCATTTGGTCCAAAATTATTTTTGTATTTACAAAATGTTTTAAAGAAATGGTTTAAACCCAACCCAAACATCAACCCCAAATATTTTCTCTTACTTTTTTTTTCTTAGTTTGACTACTAGACTGACAAATGAATTATTTGAAAAGCTCTGATATAGACTTTTTAGTGGACTGCTAAAATCTTTGAGGATGTACTAGACTTTCATCTTATTTTCCTTAAATAAAATCTTTACATTGCCCTAATCTTTTTTCAGAAAGACTGAAGTCTGTGGCCTGAACTTAAATCTATTCTCTGAGAGATGTACACCCTAAGGTGGTACTCCTTCATCTGTATAAATGGCAAAAGTACTTACCTGTGATCCCCCAAATTTACCGATGCTTTGGGAGGAGAGATCAGAATAAAGCCAGAGCTTGCTGGTACCCTTATGCTTTCTCTTTTATATGTCTGTACTGTCCTGTAAAAATGCATTAATCAGGGAGCAGAGATGCAGGAAGTTTAAAATGCTTGCTACTTCATCTTGTCCTGCTGGGCTTCCTTTCCGAATTGAATGCTACTATTAAAAGCAACGTGCAGAAAATACTCAGCCAGCTACACGGTTTCATTTTGTTTTTGTTGTGAGTAGCCAATTCTGACCATTTTGGTCACAAATCATAACCAAATCAAGGCTCCCTGCCCTGTGCTTCCTGGAGCAGCAATGATCTCCAGTCCTTTTTTGGTCTTGCAAATCAAATTCTGATCTTTGATGCTTGTACCAGTATCCTCCTTTTCCAGAAAATTGAAGTATTGGCCCCTGCTGTATTTAAGCTGCCAATATTCAGCAACCAAGTGAAAACAAACCTTCCCCTGAGATATCCACCAAAAGAAATAAACCTATCTAGAAAGATTAGTAAAATGCCAAAATGAGAGAGAAGCACGATGGTCTTGGACTCAAAGTACAGGGTTAAGACATGAACTCTTAGTTCTCATCTATTCCAGACTATGCTACAGGCTTGCTTTGGTCAATTTACTTAACTTCTCCATGCCTCAGCTCTTGTGATTACTAGAGTGGAAATAATGGGTTTAAATCATCCTTAGTGTAGCTTCTGGAATAAAGCAGGTCAATTTGGTCCACTTATAGTCACTGTACTTTTGTTACAGGGAAACTGGAGCCATGTCCCCACCTGCAGGGGTGTGCACTTGTACTGGCACAAAAAGTAGTGGCACAAATTTGTGCCATTACTTTTTGCCACTATGCACACCCCCGCACGTGTGCTGTGGTGTGAGGCAAAATGCTGCACTTTGGGCAAACTGCCCATTCCCTGCTTCTTCCAGCTCCCAGCATGCTAGACAAACCAGGGCAGATGTAGAGGAGGGGAGATGATCTTGTCAACAGCCAGAGCACCACCCTGGAGCACCCAGCCTCCAATTGCTCTGGCACATGCTTCAGGAGTGTCAGCCATGATGCTTTTTTGGCAGTTTTTTTTTTTATAGCGGGAGTTCCTGGTATCAAATTTTGGTGCCACACTGCAGGCTTGCAGCATGGTGCATGGTTGCACATGTGCTGTGTGCAGTTTGCAGTGTCTTAAACAGGTTGCAGCAACAGGTTTGAGGCGCCACAAACTGCATGTGCACTCTCACCTGGGTGCGCCCTGGGAGGCTACTATTCTCCCTGTTCACATTGTGATCCAAAGGCAGAGATGCTGTACAAGTACACAGCTGTTATAAAATAGCAATCCCTCTAACTCACCCCTTTCACAGGTATAGTGTCTTACGGGCTCTTAACAAATGAATGGAAGACTTAAGAATAACAGTGATACTTGCAACACAATAAATACCACTAGATGAGAAAACTGCTGAAGCCACAGAGGAGCAAGAATGTGACTCCCTTTCCTAATCCTCCTTTGTCATGTCTACAGGTTGGCAATCCCTGCACAAAGAAGCCTGTGGATCATGCAGTGTTAAATGTTGAGCAGCTAGTGCAGCAATGTGCTAGAGATTTTGTGCGTGAAAAAGTAGGAGAACACAAAAATATGATTGTTGTAGGAACCACAATGCAGGAAATGTAGGAACCACGATGCAATGAAAATTATCCCCCTGTTATATAACAGGGATAGTTCAAAGCAGCACTACAAATGCTGTTATGGGCATGTACAATGTCACCCTGTTACAATCCATGTGGGAATATCACAGACCTAATCCTCAGACTTGGCTCTGGCTACTTTGTGCTGCCAAAGATTGCCTTAACAAGACAGCTGAGAATTCCCCCTGGCAAAGGGAGATGCTAGGAGGCCATTTGCTTCCTTCCATTCCATGTTGGCAGTATGTCACGAGGTGGGAAAGGACAATGAATAAGGTTGTCGATCCTTAGAAGTGTCTCGGACGGCCAGAGCCGACTCGAGTTACGTTAGAAATTGGTCGTACGTTAGGGCGGGCTGGTGAATGGAGAGGCAGACACAACTTATTGGTTGTAAAAAACTTTACTCACGCCACTTGCAGTCACGATGCAGGTGGTCCGGTCGTCTGAACAACCACGTGAGTTGTTCCAGCTGGTGGGGCCCAAGCCAGTTAATCCGTCTGCAATTCGAAGCCGGCGGGGAAAGGGGTACGTCGGGGTTGCGCTCAGTGACGGGAAGAAAGATCGATAGGTGATCAGTCTATCGATCGGCAGCCGCAAGTCAG